ACGATTTGCCAGAAACATGTGATGGCTTTGAAAGTGACAGCATTGTCTGGATCAATAAGGTCCTTATCGAGAGCACTATTTATGTAACTTTGAACTCTGAAAGGGACAGTTGATTTCTTTTAGTTTGATAATCCAACGTAAAATACCGGTATGCCGGGGAAATAAGCTATTCGCGTGTTTACCTTTCGACCAAGGATCGCTTACCTTTCGACCAAGGATCGTTTCGTTCCGCGCAATTTCGCTCCTTTCCTGCAGGAAAGCCATCTCTTTAACGCAGGAATAGTCAGTTGAATAGGGGTGTTCACTCTTGAGGAAGCTCCGTCGATATCATCCTCAGAAAGAGTGATTTTAGGCGAATTTCCTACAGCCATGTCCGATGTGATGTTTTTCTCTGATATTCCCGCGAAACCATTACCACCAATGTTGTCGCTTTCAAAGCCATCACATGTTTCTGGCAGATCAACCGACGCTGTGTTTACGTACGAACCCGGCTGCTTTCGTTCGACCGATTTTCGCTCTCATGGAGGTTTGCTTGGTGTTTTTTTCTTGCACAAAGCAAAACTTTGTGGGAATAGACCGTGGTTTCAAGTTGACAAGCAAGGAACCCGGAATTTTCCCAAAACAGTCGGCTTCAAAGTGGTCACCACATAGCCATTTCGAAAGCAGTTCTTTGTTCTCCTGCGGTAAGCGATGCCAGGACTTTTTGATTTTCATGTCTGAAGAGTTTGTACAGCCCTAGGCAATACACCATTGAGGCATTTCGAACAAAAAGTGAAAAAAACAGACAAGGGGTATTCATTCTTTCTCTAAACACCAACAAAACACGCGAAGCGATCACCGCCAAGCCTCGGTTTGACGCTGCGAGAAATTGTTTTGACGTCATCGCGCATAAGTCCTATTATAACTATGTACTAAGCTGTTTTCATTTTGAACGCACAATTGATGGTGGGTTATCTAGCTCGCCTTAACAATTGTCCAAAAAGATGATAGAGTGAAGAGTCTCTCGAAAGATGTCCGCGAAATCATCCGAAATCAAACACATCTGATAAGACGAAGATTTAGGATTAAACACAATTTCGCCATTGGCAGATTCGTTCCTTCTTATGATTCCTACCGGCCCCTCGATCAAGTCATATGCTCTCAAACTCTTTTTATTCGTTGCTGTTTGCTTTCCCGACCGAAAAGAAGACACAATTCCACGCCATCTTTAATCGTTTTCGAACAATTTATCATTTTTGCACCACCTAAGCATTTGCATCGGTTTCATGCCGAGAAATCGAATACAAAATGGCGGCGGAGTATGCGTAGTGTGAAAGATTTGCGGACTTTAAATATGGTTTCCGTACAAAGCTTTGAGTGAGAAATGAATAAAATGCGGCTATAAGTTTGAAGATAAAGTGGAGAGTCAAAATGCTCACGTCTAAATCATTAAAAAACAACATAAACAACACTCACAAGAATTCCTACGATCCACCGACGTAGCTAAGTTCGGTCCTGAACGGTCATTTCTTTTACTTCTTATGGCCTCTCTGATCTCTTAAATCCGCCCGTGTTTACCATTTTCCATGTCTCACCACGCCGATGTAAGGTAGTGTTTCCAAATTGCCCACGTCAGAATGTCTTCTACGATGATCGATCGTCCATTTGAGACATATTTCAAGGCGCAGAGAGCCGTTTATGTTCGGCCGAAACAGCTGGCAAAATCCCGTATTTCATGTTTTTCCAGGTATTGACCTCTTTGGGGAAAAGAAGCGCTTGTGTAAGTAAAAAAATAAGGCGAATTTGGTGAAGTCTTGAAATTCGCAAGAAAAATAGTCGTTATCTTTGAAGGGCTATGTAACCTAGTCTTTTAAGCGGATTTCCGCTGTACTGAAGCTGTTCATCGCGTGGAGTGCGCTAATTTTGATTCCGATCAATTCGTGTTGCTCAAAAACATCTTTAAAGTCCTTTGACTTCCAAAACATACTAATCCTTTATTTAATTTCAATTGAAAAATGTCTCATAGACCCCCATTAGAAGCATTTTTGAAGTGGGAATTGAGAATTGAAAGTCCCTCATTAACATATGCAGCGCCCACGGCATCAACCGCTGACTGTCGTCGATTTCTCGGCATGTTACCTGAAAAGCTAACATGGCCGGCTTCGCTGTAGTGCTTGTAACGCCTTCCCAGTCGTTTTGTGTAGCGTGACGCGTCCCGTCATTCCTAGTTTCATACGGGACCTTAAGATAAGTTCCCTCGTGGAGAAAAGCAAAACAAACCTTATTGCTAGGACAGGTGTTTTTGTGGTTTCGTTAACGAGCTAGTCAAGTTTCACTTGAAACCCCTTCATAGGCATGTTCCATGACAGTCTTCGACAGTCATCCGGATAGTTTAGTGAGTATCATCTCAAAGTAACGTTGTAATTGACCGTGGTTGAAAATAAACACCGGACTTCATTGTTAGATGTATTGGCGCATACCCTTGGTTTTCACGCGGCTCGTTGCACAAGCAAAGCGGCCGCTACAGTGCTTCTTGCCCAGTTTAAAGCTTCCTCGCTACTGTCTGTCAAATGAAATTTTGATCCACAGCTGAAGTCCCGTTTCTGTTGTCCTTGACCCAGGTCTATTCCTTGAAAAAATATCGCGGGTGCTTTCATTATATGCGCCGTGAAGTAGGACAACATTTGTCGAGCTTACAGCGAGTGAAGCTGGAGGCAAGGGATTCCTCCCCCGACGTTCATGATGCTGACGTGGTAAACTGCATATTTATAGTTCTTTTCATCGTCAATTGCTTTTGGGAGATTAAACCATGTATTTATGAATAGGGTCTCTAAAGGGAACCTCAGAACCACTGATGACGGTAAAATGATGTATTCAAATTCGTCTCTGACATAGATTTCTACAATGTCACACAAATCGATGTGATGTTGCGTATTTCTTGCGCGCGCCATGATGGTCTTAACGGCTCTACGCAAAGGATCAAAGCTAATAGAAGCCAGTAGTTCCTTGCTGGGCTTACCTTCTCGAAGTAAATTTGAAGGAAATTTATGATCTAGACGCGGAGTCCGAGATGGTCGCGATTTCCTGCCTTCATCTTGTCGAGGCGATCGAAGAAGTCCACTTGAGGACCAAGCAAAGCGCAAATGAAATCCCTGCCGGAATAAAATCGCACTACATCTTCTTATAGCTTTTCAAAGCTAGCCTTTTCTTTCTATACTGAAGCTTTTAATCAAACCACCTTTCAGATCTTTTTCAAGGAGAGAAGCTTTATTCTGAAATTCTTCGCTGTCGAACTGACTTCTTTTGTAAATGAGTTTTCGATACTGGTTGATGAAATTTTGCGCGCTGTGGATGGCATGTTCAAAATGTGGGAGATCGTTGTACTCTTGTTTATCTCTCTTCCGTATGAACTGAATTCTGCGAAGCCAAAGCTCATATCTGAGCGAATAAAGTTCAAGCTTCGTTATTGCTACTTTAATTTCCATCATTTCGAAAGTAAAAGGAACTTGCACGTTGGTTCATTAACACCATCCTCATCACCAGCTTCGAAGGATTTCTTTATTCGTGCGGCTTCATCATGGAGAAACTCTTTGATCGCAGCCTCTATCTTCTTTTCACTATTTTGGAATCTATTAGCCTCCAGACGGGGAACTGGTTCTCGAATATTTTTATCTTATGGTGCCAAGGTTTGGGGATGTGATAATACAATCTCATCGTGATCAAGTTTGGCTTCCGAGAACAACAACAAACCTTGAAGCGCCCGGCCAGATTTTAATTGTACAGTCCACGATGAGGCCATGTGAATAAACGAAGGCGAAGAATCAAATATGAAATCTTAGAAACTATCTTAATCGTTAGGTGAGAAAGCAAAACTTGTGTTGTTGTGATGAAAGTGTTGTCAATTAAGTATGGTGTCAGTAAATGAGGAGAGGAAACAAAACTTAGTCACCCCTACAGTCTGGATGTGCTCTGTCATAACTTTGAATGAATGACCTGAACTATGACTACAAAACGTGTGATTCTCAAAACTTAATTCTCAAAACATTGGTGAAACGTGTCTGCCAATAGGTAAATCGTATGATCTTATGGTTTGAATTTTTGGTGGGATGACTCATTAAGACTTTTCATATGGTAAATAGATAAGAACATTTCTCGGAATCGAGAGTTCAGACGAGCATTGATCCGGAATCGACTATTCTTAGGCCTTCTATCATAATGCTGTCTATTCGAGGGCATTAACGCAAAACTTGACTTTTCTTTTCTATCTAAACTGAATAAATTTGGACTAATATAGCCTCAAAAAGAAATATTATAGATTGCGTAGCTGAAAATGGAATAATTCGATAAAATAATTTAAATAGCTAGACTTAATATGAAAACGTGAATGAAGCAGGGCCCCACTTGATACTGTCAGATATTTGTTGTGGAAGCAAGCCAACCAAGGTAAGGCTAGCCAATGAGAACGTGCGGATTATATGTAATAGCTTTTAATAACTTTTGATGAATACGTAATGTAAGGAGAATATAGCATTCCATGCCAAACATAAAGTAGGATAGGAGACCCTGCTTTTTGAAATTTGCATTAATTCTCCGGGTTCCGATTAATCATAAATACTCGCTTCAGGATATATCTGGTTTGTAGAATCTGTATAGCCTTTAGTTTATGGGGTGGTCAACGAGTATTTTGAGCGAGTACAGCCTTTATAATAGAAAACCTTAGACGTTTATTTTCAAAAATGCACCAAAGGAAGCTTGTCTAACTTAAACATATATTTCTACTTATTTCATAAGGGACTCCCACTGGCTGAGGCCAGGTTCCTTTGATTGACAGAGCTTGTGCGCCATGGTCAAATAGGACTTAACTAGGTAGAAGCAGCCCCTTAGCATCAAAAGATAAAATCTCCCAAGCGTTTCGATTGACAGATTCTTAGAATTGTATAGTTGCTTGCCACGTGTCAGAAGAAATTAGCATGCACAGCGCCTGATGGAAAAGCCATCATGGCGGATACATTGCAGGTACCATCAGTTCCAACTCTTTTCGAAAAGGCAAACAAGGACGTTTGGAACATTGGGTTGGAAAAAGCACATATTGATGATCATCAAGCGACAAAGAATTTCCTGTATATGATTCTTGGATGGCTAAGACAGTGGAAGCTAGAAAATTTGCCTGTTCTGGCTAGCGAGCTCAAGTCGTATCTCTGGTTCTTTCCATTTTCAAAATATGAACTCCAACTCAGACCAGGCATTTTCTTCAATGATGTGTGATAGATTCCAGTACAAAGAGGGCGTCGTTAATACATGGTTTAATCCTGATCCTGAGGGGACTTTTCCTCAGCACATTGAAACATTGAATGTAATAAATGTCGATAAGGATGGATACAGAGAGAAAATTTACAAAACGCAAGATGGAGTGAATCCTTTTCCGGAATCATTACAAAATACTGAATTTGACATCTTCTTGCATGCAACAACTCATGAGAGTGCTAAAGATATTTTAGAACATGGGATTGACTTGACCAAAGGCAAAAGAAAGGAGCAAGACTTTGGACCTGGCTTCTACGTCAGTGACAGCCTAGATATAGCCTTGAGTTGGGCAAAAGATCGGGGATTCGTGCGTCCAGCTGTGCTTGTCTTTCGAGTGAAAAACAATGAATTGAGGGAAGGAAAACAATTTAGAGGAATAGATTTAAGAGGCGGTCAGCAAAGAAATAGCTGGAAAGAAGTTGTAAAGCCATTTTTAAATGGACAGCTTCGCAAAAATAGCCATGTTCATTATATTGAGGGACCAATGGTTAACTGGAAAAAGCTTTCAAGAGACAATCCTGTTCAAATGCATAGCTCCTATCAATTATGTGTTAAGAAAGACAGTTGTGCCGAGTTTTTCAATGGCAGCCTTCACTCGGTGTTATTCTTCGACGGGAATGTTCTGTAACACCAATGTAGTAAACCAAATATGTTCATGCAAGTTTACTTGAAAATTCCTTTTGTGCGACCAAATAATTTAATTGTCAAACAGTGAGATTGGCTATTTCCTGAGATTTCTTAAGGCCTGTTCTTGCATATTCATTTAGCTATTTCCTACGTGTCGAAATCTGCGTTGCATGGCTTTGCACTTAAAGTAACATGTTGTCTAAAGTGAGCAGGGAAAGTTTTAGTGAGTTGCGAGAAAGGATACCGATAAGCAGAGGCCGAAAACGGTTGAAGGCCCAAGTTTTGTCTGATCATGGTGAGATCAGATAGAGTATATAAAGCCAGTGAAATTGAGCTAAACATGTCTGTGGAGCAGTTCTCAATTTAACTTGGAAGTAATCCTGAGTTGCATTCATGTTGCTTCCAAGAGCTCTTTTTGTTCCCAATAGTCTTGAAACTCAATGCAATGCAGCGCCCACGACATCAACCGCTGACTGTCGTGGATTTCGGCATGGATACAACGTTAAAAACATGCAGATGTTTTACCTAAATGCAACCATAAGTAATTTATCTCTACAGCAAATTCACCTTTTACAGAAACTTTATCAAAGCTTTATTACAGTTACGACTACATAAACAGACTTCTTTTCAAAGTTGCCCATTCTTCCTGAAAATCATCTGATAAGCAATTCCTCTCAAGTGTTGCCAATTTAGTTCGCCTTCATATTAGGAATCAATTTTGCAGCCATTGAGTAAACTTTTAAAGAGAAATAAAGCACATTTATCAGGGCATCTCACATTGAAAAGGGATCACATTAGTGTTCGATGTGTTTTAATGTAATGACCTATCGGTCTAAACCGACGTGTAGTTATGACGAGTGAAATGGCCTTACCCTCACCAAACGAACAGATAGGCTACAGATATGTTCCACCGGTCTGCAGCATATCTGTGAAATATCTGCATGACCTATCTGTAACATATCTGTAACATATAAGAATTTGGCCCCAAATTTCTAACTGTGACAGATCTGTGACAGTTATGAAAAACCAACAGTACATACATATCTGTGGAAATATCTGCTACTACAGATACGTTAGCTATCTGTTGATCCCTACGGTGGCGATAGGGGAGGCTATCGAGGGGGGCATGGGATGTAGTTCATTAACTAAGAACAAGTGAATAAGACACTCCAATGTTATCTATTTGACATAGTTTATTGATATAAATTAAGTATGTATGCAATTTTCATTTCTCTTCTAGTCAACAAGAACATGTAAAACTTAAAAATCATTTAAAAATAGAGGAATAATCATAAAATTGTGATAAAGTTCTAGCTGTTTTTTTTTTTTTTCAAATATACTCCTTCACAAGCTCAACAGCACTTATCTTGCAGGGTTTTATTTATAACTGTGGCAGCCTGCATTCTATATTTTTTCTCATCCAGAACAAAACCTAGAGAGCAATGAAAAGACAAATGTTCAAGTCAGTTCTCATATGATTGAAATTGTGGATTACCAACAAACAGCCCTACACAGTTGATTATGTTGGTAACATGGAGTTTCCTAATCTAAATACTGACAAAAATTCAAATCAAAGAGAGTACAGTAGTTTGTTTGACCATGCACACTGTACCTAGATAGCCAGAGATTGAGATCGCCACTTAGAGTGATGAAATACACGGTCCAAACTGACAGTGTAAGCTTGGTTAGCAAGGGAATTAGTAATCAATTCTGCAAAAGACTGTCACTTGATGAAAAAAATATCATCAGGATGGCTTGGTTACTGGCAAAGAAGAGAGTAATTCATATTAGTTTTGTCAAACACCCTTTACCTTTGAAACATGAAATAGAGGCAAACCACCATTTAAGGAGTTGAAATTATTGAGATAAAAAAGAAAGACTGATGAGAGGTTATTCAACAACAACAACAACAACAACAAGTTTATTTGGTAAGGCAGGTTACTAAAATAGGCAAGACAATAAGTCCTGATATGGACCTGCACGCTAAACTAGCATTATAATCACAATTTCGACAGGAAATCTATAAATGTAAAAATACAAGGATGTAAAGTGTAAAAAAATCAAAGCTATTACGAAAAACCTCTCTGAAAATACAAATATAAAGGTTTTCATTACGTAAACTGTAATATATGCTTAAAAATAGAAAAAATCATCATCTTCATTCATAATCATGGATGACTTTTTGGTATATGATATTTTTATTAGAATGGCCTTATTTTTCCTCAATTCTTTCATAGAACTCAGAATAGAGGGAGCTTCCTTAATGCGAACTGGAAGAGAGTTCCAAGCTATAGCTGCCCTATGCTTAAAAGATAGTCTTCCCATTTCCGTTTTTAGTCTTGTGATATTTATATTTAAAGTCTTTCTTAGATTTTATCTGTATTCCTGCTTCGATACTAAGTTATTAAGGTAGTCATTATAGAGACCATCATATGATTTATAAGTTATGGATAGTATCCTTTTCGTGAAAAAATATGAAATAGGGGACCATCCCCTAAGCTTACACATGTCGTCCATATTAGTGTCCTTAGGGAGATTATGAATTAACCTTTCAGCTCGCAGGTGGATACGCTCCATTTTTTCCATCAAGACCGGTGAGCATGAGCCCCATACAGCAATTCCATACAGGACAGATGGAATAATAGTCTTTAAATAAATAGTCCCTAGAATAGACTTAGGTAGGGATTTCATACGTTTTAAAATATCGAGTTTCTTGTTAAAAGTTTTACAGACAGCCATGATAGCTTCATTTGATCGATGGTAAGACCGAGACATTGTGATGATTAATTAAACTTGATAACACTGACCATATTTCAATAGTGGCAAGGGACCAATAAAATCATGCTTCGACAACAATAAAGCCTCAGATTTTGTCTCATGGGCAGTCAACCTGTTTGAGGTGCATCAGGAAAGGACTTGGTTTGGAATCGACTGGAAAACCACCATAATACTGTCTATATCTTTACCAATAGTGAAGACGGTGGTATCGTCGGCAAACATAAACAACCGCCCATCAGTAACAGCCTCCGGAAAGTCGTTTTCATAGATTGAAAATAGTCTTGGACCCAATATGGATCCTTGTGGAACACCATATTTTATCAATCTGGGTCCAGACTCTATTCCAGATAACTGGACAAATTGGCGACGCTCACATAAGTAGCTGGTAAATAAAGAAAGACAGAAAGTCTCCTGAGACACCACTTGCTTTAAGTTTTTGCTGAAGAATTAAGTGATTCACAGAATCAAACGCTTTTCTGAAGTAAATAAAGACGACCCCAACCTTCAGTCCCATGTCTAGAGCTTCCTTCCAGGTTTCAGTGAGGTAAAGCAAAAGGCCTTCAGTAGAATAGTTTTTGCGGAAGCCCCATTGGTTATGACTTAACAGGTCTTGAGATTCAATGTGATGGTCCAGAGAGCTGCTGACTACATCTTCCAAGATCTTTCCTGGTACACTGAGGAGAGAGATTAATTGGTCTGTAGTTATTTACATCAGTTGATCTACCTTTTTTAAAAATAGATTGACGAGACAGTTTCCAGTTGGAAGGGTAGGTAGCATTATCGATACTTTTCCTGAAAACTGGCAACAGACTATGAACAACTGAGTCACCCAACAGAGTGTGGTCTTTAGACAATACCAGGTCTGGGCAAGAAGCTTTCTTTGGGTTTGCAGCCTTGATCACCTTTCGCTTAACAACGTCCCAGTTCAGGTCGATAGAACTAGATGATAGGGTTACACGACTAATATGGGTTTGTTGGAGTGAACAATCCAATGGTTCCAGGTTTTTTGTAAGATTTTCACTAATATTAACAAAGAAGCCATTGAAATGTTCGACTTTCTTGAAGTTGTTAGTAATAAGAACATTGTTATTATCGATAATTGGGCCTATAGCGGTCTTAACATTAGTTTTCCTGAGCACTTGATTAGTCAATTTCCAAAATTCTTTGGGATTTTTGGACTCCTTGAACATCTTGTGCCAGTAAGTAGTTTCTGCACCTTTTAAAAGCTTCTTTACTGCATTCCTCTTGTTTTTGTATTCTATCCATTTGTCTTGACATAGTTACTAGAGGGGACTGGTTATGAAGGCCGGCAATACATCAGAGAGCTAGGTTATTGTTCGAGTTTATCGAAGCCAACCAAGCGTAACCATGCACACACATTCAAGATGGCGGGGAGCTAGAAGACTTGTGTACATGGTTTGATCTGTTTCTAAAGCGTCATGATGTAGTTCTGTCCATCGGGACAGTTTATTTAAGTATCTATACTCGAAATTACAATGCCTGGCGACAACTGTGCCGTGTTTGGTTGCGTTACATGTCGTAGAACGAGAGGAATCGGCATATTTAAGTTGCCCTCGCAAAGAGTGGCTGAATCAGCTGACCAAAACAAGAATTATCGACAAAGACTTCCAAAGTCAAATCGATAAAGGAAATGTATTTACATATGAGAAGCATTTCGATCCAAAGGATATCGAAAAGTGTGAGTATTCGAGTAAAATATCAATCAAATGGTACCAGGAGAAGATCAAGAGATAACTCTTAGTCCAATGACTATATTTGATGGATGATTTTTGTGCTCACTCTATTGTATTAACTAAACTATACTTGTTACCATCTTAATTAGCTGAAAGGAATTGTAAACCGTGACAAGTATTTATTTGATTACAGAGAGTTGAGGAACATGGGTTTCAAGTATACATTCAGTAACAGCTTTTAAATGTAATGATAAAGTGTTAATTTTGTATAACATCGATAACAATGTTTCTTGGGAAAAGTATAAGCCAGGTAACTTTTAATGCTCTTTAAAATCCTCTGAGTCAATCAATACAATTTAAGCAATATGGTGAAAAGTCATTAAAATTTATATTGGACTAGGACTGCCTGTCATT